AAAAAAAAAAAAAAAAAAAAAAATTTAAATCTGTAAAAGAAAATAATCAAATAAGGAGGGGGGAAAATATGTCTAACTATGACCTATAGGAGCTCAGAACATCTCCCTTCAATACCTTGTCCTCTCTAATGTTCGTTAGACAATTCCAATTTAATGAGCATGAGCTAGAACCAAGTAATGTCACAAGTGCTCAACAGCTCATCAAGGACAAGATACGTGGCTCCTACACACAAGCACCACAAACTTAGCAGCTCACTTTAATAATTTTTAATGTTTATTTATTTTTGAGAGAGAGAGCATGAGCAGGGGAGGGGCAGAGAGAGAGGGAGGCACAGAACCCAAAGCAGGCTCCAGGCTCTGAGCTGCCAGCACAGAGCCTGATGAGGGGCTCAAACCCATGAACCGTGAGATCATGACCCGAGCCAAGGCCAGACGCTCAACCGACTGAGCCACCCAGGCGCCCCATTGGCTCACTTTAAAAACTAGAAGTAGACGGAGTGCCTGGATGGCTCAGTCAGTTAAACCTCCAACTTTGGCTCAGGTCATGATCTCACAATTCTTGAGCTCGAATCCTGCGTCAGGCTCTGTGCTGACAGCTCAGAGCCTGGAGCCTGCTTCAGATTCCACATCTCCCCCGCTCTATGCTCCTCTCCTGCTCATGCTCTGTCTTTCTCAAAAATAAACAAACATTAAAAAAAAATTTTTTTAATAAAAAAAATTTACTGCATTTAATGAGGAGTCAGAGCAACTATTCTTTTTTTTTTCCCCTGATCATCCAAGTTTTCTTTAGTGAGCACACAATTTATCTGACTTAATTCTACAATTCAGAGGTCTTACTAATTTAGGCCTTTAGTAATTCCCAACCACTAGAAAGAAAAAAAAAAAACTACTCCAAATAGTTCATTCCACAGCCTTAATTTCAGTCTAGGGCTTCTAACCACAGGCCCCATCTTCCTCACTAATATTCGCTCTAGAACACATTCTCTCAGCTTCTTCTCTTGGGAAGAAATGTGACCTACCTGGATCTCCTCCCGAGAAAGCTGCATTGAGTTCTGCACGAAGTCTGGGGGTTCCTCCCATCCTCCTTCCTGGGTCTCCAGGTTGTGGTAGTAATAGTATCCACCCTTCACCCAATGCTTCACCCATTTGCTGTTGTTATCTCCTGACAGAAAATAAAGGAAAGATAAAAGAAACCCAGAGCCACACTTCCCACACTCCTAAGTCTAAAACAGCAGGGTTATTCTGGCTGCATTAACAGTCTAAATAGAACCATTCCAAAACCCTGTTTCTTATATCTCTAAGAGTAAAGGGGCATCCTGAGTCCCTCCAAAATGATGGCTTTGTAATGTCTCAGCTCACTCATTTCAACGTCATAAAAAGAAAATATGAAGTCCAATTGCGGAACTAACCTTGACTAACTTTATTCCTTCTAAAGCCTGCATGTAAGAACTTGGCACATCAGAAAACTAATCTGATAAAAAGATTTGCAACCATTCAGCCTCTCCAGTTAATAAAAAAAAAAAAAAAGGCCATGCAATGGGATGAAAAATCTTACCTTTATTCCCCCTCCTTCTGAAGATTAACTACTTTTAACTAGCATCTATTGGATTAGGTAATCAGAACTAATGACACCCTATGAAAGACAACTAGTCAAATATTTTGATCCTTCTTGCTTGCCTTTTCAGAAACTGACCTTTTTAACACAGCTGCCTTTGCAGGGGAGGGGGTGTTTTTTTGTTTTTTAGAGACATTACCTCCTCAGGGACTTTAAAACAAGCCTACCTTCCAAGCTTCTGGACTAAGACACCTTTCCCTACAGTTGCCCCCAGAGATTCGAGCTCTTCCTTTCAGGGCACAGATTTCTTTCCCAATAACTCACCTGCTGCCAGTTTTTTCTTCTTGGCCTCAGCAAGGTCACTCTGGTAAGTGTCACCACACTCAGGGATGACTCCATACAAGCCGACATCAGGGGAACGAAGGGCGCTCAGTGTTTTGCCAACATCACCACTGTCCACCGCCTCATTGATGGCATAGATTCCGAGGGCAACTATCCCAGAAGACAAGGGTCACAAGAATAGTTCAGAAGTGTCTAAATGTGCACACTACGTCACCATGGCAGACTGTCCCCTGCCCCGCTCCGGCTCTCTATCAAGCTGGAAGACTGGGATAGGGGACACCGCACCACCCCCCACCCCGCCACAGAAACAGAAATAAAACACCCATACGTACACCTCTGTGCTTCCTGGGTGTCTTTGTTGGACTGCCAGATTCCACCTTGAATCTCATCCAACCATAACACCGCTGACTCATCCTGGGTTTCCTACACACCATTAAAGCAAAACAATATCAGAGTCATGACATTAGGGTACAAGAGATCAAGCGGACTTCTGAGACTCAATTAGAGGCAGAAGAAGTTCCAAACATACAAGACATATCGAACGGCCAACTGGAAGAGGCTGGGCATCAAAACCTGGTCAAAGCTTATGAGACATGCCTCAGATGCAGGGGACGGATTACATGAACATGGATGCAAGGGGCTCAGGAAGTCACGAGCAGCTAGGAGCGGCAAAGGACCAAACTGGGAAGGGACCTGGGACTTCGTTAGTCCGACGAGGGCCACGGCACGAATAGGAACATGTGGTACTTTTTTAGAAGGCCCCTTTGACATCAATATTGAAAGGAAGTTAATATTCTCTATGACTGCTGTTTTTAAGATTGCCAGACTTCACCACAGGTAAAGCCAGGAGTCATTACAAGCAATCTAAACTTATCCCCAGCTTATATTCTAAACCTTGAACGTTACGTCAGTTGTTGGAAACTTAAAAACACATTTCCACACAGAAACATAATAAACAGTGATTAGTTTGCTCAGCATGGCCAACAAAAGTCTCACTGGTCCACAGTGCAGTCCAGGTTGAATACTGGGGATTGATAGGAAATAAAACCGGTGGCTTGCTTCCCTCTTTCTAAGTAAGTCTTAGACATTTTTTTTTTAATTTATTTTAACGTTTATTCATTTTTGAGACAGAAAGAGACAGAGCATGAATGGGGGAAGGTCAGAGAGAGAGGGAGACACAGAATCTGAAACAGGCTCCAGGCTCTGAGCTGTCAGCACAGAGACCAACGCGGGGCTCGAACTCACGGACCGCGAGATCATGACCTGAGCCGAAGTCGGACGCCCAACCGACTGAGCCACCCAGGCGCCCCCTTAGACATTTTTTTTAAGTAGCTTATTGGCAATCGTTTGCGCTGAAAGACATGTCAAACAGACTGGGGTTGGCAGAAATGTCCTCCAGTATCTTCTAATTTCCAAGAATCTGGCTAACACTCTGTGACTTGGGCAAGTCACTAGGGATTAGCCCCAGGTACTCACTGCTGTGAGGGGACAGATTCTACCATATCCACCTGTGTCAGTGTCAGAGTCAGAACTGGAAACCTGTAATACCAACTTAGATTTCAGTGGTCATACTGAGGTTACAGAAGTTTCAACCGTCTCCCAACAGTGAGGGTCCTCTGTTTGTTAATGTCTCCAAAAGTCTTAATAGAAAGCACCAATACTTGGGGCGCCTGGGTGGCGCAGTCGGTTAAGCGTCCGACTTCAGCCAGGTCACGATCTCGCGGTCCGTGAGTTCGAGCCCCGCATCGGGCTCTGGGCTGATGGCTCAGAGCCTGGAGCCTGTTTCCCATTCTGTGTCTCCCTCTCTCTCTGCCCCTCCCCCGTTCATGCTCTGTCTCTCTCTGTCCCAAAAATAAATAAATATTAAAAAAAAATTTTTTTAAAAAAGAAAGCACCAATACTGAAGATTAATACAGCAGTCTTCTCCAGAAAAGGCAAGACACTTCAGGTTTTGAAGTGGCCAGGCTGCGAGAGTCATGTTTGAGGTGATCCTGGCAGATCCAATAAAATTAACTGTTTCTCAGGCTTGAGCTAACAGCATTTGGGGTAAAGAGCAGATCAAAACTCCATTCTAAGTGCTTGGTGTAAACATAACCTGCCAAGGCACCAATGAGACAAGTGGGACAGGAACTACAATTACGCTGCCAGATGAAGCAGGGCAAAGCAGACCTTGTCAGTGTCCTCAGGAGGCCCAACAGTCTAGCAAAACCTCAGAGGAAGCTTCCCTTTCCTCCCACATTATTGTGGAGAGAGACACAATGTTTCAATCAGCAGAGCGGAGGCAGTGGCCAAAGCACTTTGGTGACAGGGGAAAGCCAAAGGAAGCCACGGGATGGGACGTTGAAAGCTGTGATGTATTCCTTTCAAATGCAGAGTTTTAGGAAGAAAGGTCATTTAAGCAAATTAAGGTAAATGCTGGGCTTAGAATCTTAAGAGGCGCTGTCCCAATTTTAAGAAACTGACACTGGGGAAAGGAAATGAGTACACGGCCAAATAGAATGCATGAACATATCACCTAAGAGCTTCAGAAGTTAGTACGTTCCTACCACTAGTCACTTTCTGGTACTGAAAACAAAACGGCCGCACACGATCCCCCTAAAATCATATCAATAAATACTGGAAATGCTAAGCAATAGTTTCAACGGGAGACAATATGGTGAGTCAGCTCCAGGTCTGTGACGACGTAAACTGAGAAATCACACACTAGAGGGCTGGAGGCGTAATCTCCAGAAGAGGTAGCCTGAAAAAGTCGTCGCACATAAAAACAAAAGTATTCCCACAGAACCAGGTCCTTTTTGGTTCACTTTTAGGTTAATCGCACATCAGATACCCCTGAGCAGAAATCTACTGTACACAGAGCTGGGAGGTTTGGCACAATGTTCCCTGCATTCAGAGAAAGGCCCAGCTTACCAAGAATTCTGACCATTCCGAGTTGTGCCTTCTCTGCCCCAGGCAGACTAAGGCAAAACAATCAAAACAAACACATGCACGCTCCCCTAAGAAGTGGGCGGGCCGAGAGAAGCGGAAGGAAGCGAGAGCAGCGGAAGCAGAAGCGAGAGAAGGGAACAGATGGGTGTGTCGGGTGTGGGAGGGAAAGATGGTGTAGGAATGGCCGTCACCAGACTGAAGGAGGAAAGAGACACACACCACCTCATCCCAGTGTAAGGAAAGGACAGGTTCTCTCAGCTCCAATCAGATCAAATAAGATGACAAAAAACCCAGATGCCCCCACACACTCTAAAGAGACCATCCAAGATTAACACAAATCATTGAGCAGAGAGTTAAAACTCTAGGCTAGATACCGTGGAGAATACCGAGATAAAAGACTTAATGTGAAAATGCTACATAAAATATACTGAAATTCTGCCCCTTAACAAGGCTGACACTTGCACACTGGCTGCATTCAGAAGAGGTAAAGAGACAGAAACCAGAAATAAGAACCAAAAAGAGTGGGCAATGATTGTAGGTAAATATGGGGAAAGGAAAGGGAGAAGGGGCAAAGAGTGGCCATTCTGTGTGTGTGTGCACAGCACAAACTCACACACCTCCATAGGGCACTTCTCACCCCTTGAGTCTCTCCTGTTACATGGGGCATGATTTGCATGTGGGACGACAAATAAAATATTATTAAATTATTAACGAATATTAATTTAATATTAAATAACATTGAGATATTACTTATCATCATACATGCAAACCATGCCACATACACACACACACACACAAACTACGCCATACATATATATACACATCAACACACACATACATGCATCTATACAACACACGCATCAACAACGCAACACAAGCACTCAACAATCCGAAGAGCAGTCCTATGGCCCGCTGGACTGGGTATTAATCCTTTAGTTGCTGCACAGCCAAAGTCCAGGGCAAGAGCAAGAACCGGGGGTGGCACACATTGTCAGGGCAGCAGCAGCGGACCAAACAAAAGTATCTCAATATTCCAACAACTGGTACAGTCGCGCTGGTGCACACCAGCTGATTTTTAGCCACGTGCACGTATGTATGTACACACACCGTAGCGGGGGGAGCAGAACAGAGAGTTACAAGTCATTCACACCTGTAATTATAAAAGGAGCCCTGGAGACTCCCTGATGTCCATGTCTTAGCATGCAGATATTACTACCCAATGACTAGGAATCTACTTTAACAAGTATTCCAAAAACACTAAATTTAAATGGAGAGAGAAGTGACCATCAGTGAAAATAGTACAGTAAGGACTTCTGAAAATCCTCTCCTACATAAAAGCAACAAAAACACTGGCAAAAATCATCAGAGGCAACTTTTTCAAAACTACGTAAATTGACCAAATGCTTGCAGTAATCCTTATTCAAGAATAACCGCTGAATTTCATTAACAACTGTGAGCTTTGTGGCATTTCAAATGGCCCCATTTCCATCTGTCTCCCCCCACCACACACACCTCCCTCAGAGCCCCTTCTATTCCCAGAGAACTGTCACTAGCTGACCTGGTAGGTAGATCCCTAGAAGACCAAGCAAGGCTGTCTTCATCTGAACTGACTTAGAGCATGCCCTATGCAAACAGCCTTTTCTCCAGGGGCATTTATCAAAAACAGTAAGAGGCACTTGTTTAACATCACAAATGTCTAGAGCAGTGGATAAAAATTAAGGCAAACAGTAAGCTAACCAAAAAGCTTAAAAAGGAAAATTTGAGAACAAGATGTCCACAGAGAACTTTGGAAGCCTCTGACATACTCCTGAGATGGGAATCCAGAAGGCCATAATACATCTGTGAGTTGTGCACATGCTCAGAAAAGATCCGATAAGGCTGTAAGGGCTCACCTCTGGCCAACCTTGAAGTTTTGGGCAAGCATGAAGTGAAGGGTACGACAGAATTGCAAAGTACCTGGCTGAGTGTTGAAGATGCACCCCAACATGCACACTGGCCCTCAGCAAAAGCTGGGAGCTTTACTGGTTCTAGGCATTTAAAAATACTCTGCTTATGGGCCCCTGGGTGGCTTAGTCAGTTGAGTGTCTCTGACTCTTGATTTTGGCTCAGGTCATGATCTCACAGTTTGTGAGTTTGAGCCCCGCGTAAGGCTCTGTGGTGACAGTGTGGAGCTTGCGTGGGATTCTCTCTGTCCCTCACTCTCTGTCCCTCTCTCTCTCTCAAAATAAATAAACTTAAAAAAAAAAAAATACTCTGCCTAACCATTAGATGACTTCTAGCTAATTAAGCAGAGACTTCAGTGGCCACATATGATGCAACAGGATTGAAAGTCACTAAACAGACAACATTAACAAAAGACAACAATAAACCTTGAGGAAGGGATAGACTCTGATTTCCAGAGTTGCCCCATCATAAAATGTCCAGTTTTCAACAAAAAAATTACAAGACATGCAAAGAAACAAGAAAGCAAGATTTGACAAAGTACAACATCCATT